AATAGGCTGTTCCCAGAGTGCTGTATCAAGGCACCTCAGTGGGAAGTCTGTGGGAAGGGAAAAGTGTGGCAGAAAACGCTGCACAACGAGAAGAGGTGACCGGACCCTGAGGAGGATTGTGGAGAAGGGCCGATTCCAGACCTTGGGGGACCTGCGGAAGCAGTGGACTGAGTCTGTAGTAGAAACATCCAGAGCCACCGTGCACAGGCGTGTGCAGGAAATGGGCTACAGGTGCCGCATTCCCCAGGTCAAGCCACTTTTGAACCAGAAACAGCGGCAGAAGCGCCTGACCTGGGCTACAGAGAAGCAGCACTGGACTGTTGCTCAGTGGTCCAAAGTACTTTTTTCAGATGAAAGCAAATTTTGCATGTCGTTCGGAAATCAAGGTGCCAGAGTCTGGAGGAGGACTGGGGAGAAGGAAATGCCAAAATGCCAGAAGTCCAGTGTGAAGCACCCACAGTCAGTGATGGTCTGGGGTGCCATGTCATCTGCTGGTGTTGGTCCACTGTGTTTTATCAAGGGCAGGGTCAATGCAGCTAGCTATCAGGAGATTTTGGAGCACTTCATGCTTCCATCTGCTGAAAAGCTTTATGGAGATGAAGAATTCATTTTTCAGCACGACCTGGCACCTGCTCACAGTGTCAAAACCACTGGTAAATGGTTTACTGACCATGGTATTACTGTGCTCAATTGGCCTGCCAACTCTCCTGACCTGAACCCCATAGAGAACCTGTGGGATATTGTGAAGAGAAAGTTGAGAGACGCAAGACCCAACACTCTGGATGAGCTTAAGGCCGCTATCGAAGCATCCTGGGCCTCCATAACACCTCAGCAGTGCCACAGGCTGGTTGCCTCCATGCCACGCCGCATTGAAGCAGTCATTCATGCAAAAGGATTCCCGACCAAGTATTGAGTGCATAACTGAACATGATTATTTGAAGGTTGGTGTTTTTTGTATTAAAAACACTTGTCTTTCATTGGTGGGATGAAATATGCTAATTTTTTGGGACAGGCATTTTGGGTTTTCATGAGCTGTATGCCATAATCATCAGTATTAAAACAATTCAAGACCTGAAATATTTCAGTTGGTGTGCAATGAATCTGAAATATATGAAAGTTTCATTTTTATCATTACATTATGGAAAATAATGACCTTTATCACAATATGCTAATTTTTTGAGAAGGACCTGTATGTTCATAACTAGAATACATGTAACTAAAATTAAAATAAAAACAACAACTGCCTCTTGTCGTTGGCAGCTGTAAATATTTAAGTTCATAAACAAATGTGACTACTGGAATTGCTACAAGCTGCTACTTTTTCTCACTTTGAAGTCTAACCTGAATGACCAATGAGGTACTCGAGGACCATCCCCCAAGACAGACGTGCATTAATTTCATCAGATCGTTCCCGTGTTGGTACCATATTTTGTGCTTCATGCACAGACCTGTTCATTTGTTCAGCAAAACTGGAAAATGCACGGAGAAGTTCTTCTGCAGCTTCTTGCAGCTCTCGTGTTAAAAGCCATCGATCTGGCTGTCAAAGAAGGAAACGCAGCTGCCGCCTGTAAGCTTTGCATCAATGTGTAGATGGTCGGGCATTGGAGACGCAAAGCAGTCAAGTCTGGTATAGGTTTTAATAAAAGTTTTTACTATTTTTGTGCGACATCTGCCTGTGTACGGTCAATAAGTGCTTAAATACCAGGGTCTCATTTTAAACTTGATCCAAACACAGAGACAACAGGAGGGGTTCTTCTTCCCCCTCCCCTTTACGTCATGAGAGCTCAGCGGAGAAGTCGTCAGATTTACTTTTAAAGCAGTCGGTCAAGACTGATACATATTTAAAGTAAAGTTTAAAATATCCTGTGTACGATAAATGTGTGTTTAAATACCAGTCTCTCATTTAAGCTTCAATGGGCGCATGAAGCGGAGCGGAGGAGACAACGGGAGGGAGGGGGTGTTCCCCCTTCCTCCCTCCTGCTCATATGAGCTCTGCTGAGTAGAAATCACAGCACAGTTATTTAGAAAGGACATTTAAAAACAGCAGCTGTTGCCAAACGTGCTTAACAATAAAAATCAATGGAACTAATTTAATGAATATTTACCATATTTTACCAGTAACATTTGACATCTGGTCACATGACCTGGATAAGACTTCTGGGTAATATTTAATGGTATAGTTTTGAAATAATTTCGGTTACGTAGGTGTTTGGCACGGTTCTGTCCAGTGATTGTGCTTAGATACAGTAGATATTGTTCATTTTACAGGTTGAATGGTTTTAATCAAGAGTCAGAC